CACCCCGGGCTTCGCGCTCGCGCTCCTCGGCCTCGCCTCCTCCCCGCGCCACGACCTCCAGGCCCGCCTCGCCGCCTCCGTCCACTTCAAGAACCTCCTCCGCCGCCGCTGGCCCAAGCCCGCCGACGACGCCGACGACGCCGACCACCTCCCGCCCAACGACTGCGTCATCATCAAGACGCACATCCTCCAGCTCCTACTCACCGCCCCGCCGCTCATCCAGTCGCAGCTCTCCGAAGCCCTCGCCGCCGCCGCGGCCTCCGACTTCCCTGCCAGATGGGAGTCGCTCCTCCCGTCCATCGTCTCCTCGCTCGGTAACGCCCTCTCGGCGGGGGACGTCCCCGCCACCAACTCCCTCCTCGCCGCTGCGTTCTCCCTCTTCTCCCGCTTCCGCAACGTCTTCGACAGCAACACCCTCCGCATCGACCTCAAGTACTGCCTAGACACTTTTGCGGCGCCCCTCCTCGAGGTCTTCCTCTCCACCTCTCGCCGCCTCCAGGCCTCTGCAGCCGCCGCAAGCCCACTTGAACTCCGCCCCGTATTTGAGTGCCTTCGTCTGTGCTGCGAGATCTTCTACTCGCTCAACTCTGTGGACCTGCCGGAGTTCTTCGAGGATCACATGCGTGAGTGGATGACAGAGTTCCGTGCATTCCTCACCACCTCCTACCCTCCGCCTGTAGAGGCAGATGGTGCTCCAGATGCGCTCCGAGCTGCTGTCTGTGATAACCTGCAGCTGTACATGGAGAAGTATGAGGAAGAGTTCAGGGCATATTTGAAGGAGTTTGTTGAGGCCGTGTGGGGGCTCCTCATGGCGCCGACAGTCTCGCTGTCCCGTGGTCAGCTTGCCGTGACTGCGATAAGGTTCTTGACAACAGTCGCCGAGAGTGTTCACCATGCTTTGTTCGGGACTCCTGATGCAATGAAACAGATATGTGACAGCGTTGTTGTGCCTAACCTGCGACTGCGGGACGAGGATGAGGAGTTGTTTGAGGGGAACTGGGTGGAATATGTCAGGCGTGATGCAGAGGGAAGTGATACCGATACACTGAGGCGTGCTGCGTGCCGCTTGCTGCGTGGGCTAGCCGCGAACTACCGGGAACAGGTGGCTGTACTTGTATCAGCGCAGGTCCAGCAGATGTTGGCTGCATATGCCGCTGACAGGGCAAACAACTGGAAGGAGAAGGATGCTGCGATATATCTTGTTATTGCTCTTATGCAGAAGCCTGGTGCCACAGGTGGTGGGACACCTGTGGTTGACATGGAGAGCTTCTTTGCATCTGTGATTGTGCCCGAGCTGCAGGCCCCTGATTGGGAATCTGAGCCAATGCTGAAGGCAACAGTCCTCAGGTTCTTGAAGGAGTTCAAGGATCAGATACCCAAAGCCACCGCACTGGCTCTGCTTCCAAGTGTTACAAGGTTCCTGACGCACGAGTCCAATGTTGTCCATTCCTATGCTGCGATCTTTATCGAGAACCTGCTGATCATCAAGGATGTTGTCCAGGTACCAGGGGTCAATGTAGTGACAAGAGCTTCACGCTATGTGGCTACTGATATCAACTCTTTTGCCCCGCAGATTATTCAGAGCCTGTCCAAGGCGTTAGGTTATCCTGATTCTTATGAGAACCCCTATCTGATGAAGTGCCTGATGAGAGTACTTGGGATCGCAACTATCGCTGGCCAAGTTGTTCATGAGATAACCGCTCGTCTTGTGGGCATTCTGATGGAAGTGTGCAATAACCCCAAGAACCCTGACTTTAATCATTACTTGTTTGAAGCTCTGGCAGCAGTGATTGGCAAGGCTGGTGAACAAGACCCAGCATTGGTACCTTTGTTTGAGGCAAGCCTCTTCCCAGTACTCCAGAGGATATTAGTTGAGGACATCTCAGAGTTCTGGCCATATTCTTTTCAGATATTCGCACAGCTTGTCAATTTGAGCCGACCACCTCTCTCGCAGAATTACATGCAGCTGTTTGGTGTCTTGCTCAGCAATGCTACTTGGGATCGACCACCATGTGTTCCTGCCTTGGTTCGCTTGCTGCGAGCATTCCTTCGGAAAATTCCAAATGAGCTTAACCAAGAAGGTAGGCTGCCAAATATCTTAGTGATATTCCGTAGTCTAGTTTCACGCAGCAGCACGGAAGATTCTGCATTCTACATGCTTAACACGCTAGTGGAAAATGTTGGTTTGGACATTATCAATCCACACATAAGTGAGATATGGAGTGCTCTCTTTACTCGCTTACAGACTAGGCAAGCAGTGAAGTTTGTGAATTCTCTTGTGGTGGTCATGTCCTTGGTGTCAGTCAAGTATGGGCCAGGTGTTCTTGTCAGTTCTGTTGATACGATTCAGCCGAATCTCTTCACCACAATTCTTCAGCGTTTTTGGATTCCCAATCTCAAGTTGATCAAAGGTTCTCTTGAAATCAAGCTTACAGCAGTTGCCTCAACAAAGTTGCTTTGTGAGTCCGCGGTGCTGCTGGATGCTGCTGCAGCCCAAACGTGGGGTAAATTGCTTGATAGCATTGTCACACTGTTGTCTAGAACGGAGCAAGATGGAGTACAACAAGAGCAAAATGACGGAGCTGATGCGGTGGATAATCAGAAGACATCAGGTTATTCTGTCTCATTTGTACGCCTTCAGTATGCTGGGAAGAGTGAAGATGATCTGTTGAAAGACATAAATGATCCAAAGCAGTTTCTGGTGACATCCTTGGCCTCACTTTCTGCACAGTCTCCTGGAAGGTTTGGTCCTGTCATTGAGCAGCATGTGGACCCAGCAAACAAAAGTGCTCTTCTTCAGCTTTGTGCTGCCTATAATGCCAACATTGTCTAGGTAAATAACTTGTTCCTTTCCGTTCTTTTTTTCCTTGAGATAGTAATACATTTTCATACATGTCCTCAAAATCTGGAAGATGAAAGTCATTCGTTGGTACAAGTTTGTTTGCTGTGTTCCCTCCTTGTCATATAAAACATGCCATTTGCTTAGCAATTATGGATAGAATTGTTGATCTTGTCTTGTATGGTTTGGTTCAAGCACTTGTATTCATGAAGAAAATTTATACGAGCTTGCGGTTTAAATACCCTTGTATGGTTTGGTTTAAGCACTTGTGTTTATGAAAAAAAATACACTAGCTTGCACGTGGTTAAACATTCAGGTCAAAAATACACCTGCTGCATGCCCAATTCCTTCAATTCAGTGTACTAGCGCTTGTAGCATGATAAAACATATTCTGTTTTCAAACTTCTGTGTTCAGTGTTTTAATTTCGAGTGCACTTGACCTGGAAATGGGAGGTATCATGATAGTCATGGTGATATAAACAGATTATTTTTCTGACTTCATTGTTCTGTGTTTTACTAGTTCCCAGTGAAACTTCTGTCCTCAGCAGTCTATAGCTAGAAGCTGCACATTAGATTTTTCACTCCATTTACATCCTACCAGATAGGAGCAGAGCGGTATATAGTGCCTTTTACTATCGATAAATCACGAGTGGACATGCAGCCACGCGAGGATGATATCTAGGACGTTAATAACTCAGAGATTCGTGCGGTTTGCATACCATAAATTATGTATAATTTCTTCATGCAACTCACAAAGATGGTATTAGGGGCGTATCTCAGAGAACAATAATTGCACCGGACCGACTAGGCTGACAAGAAGAGTTAATCTCTCATTTATTTGGAGCAATGTCCAACGGCAACCTGCACCACCACTCTGCATTTTCTATTCAACCCATCTCATCCCGTAGCTCCTCACTAATCCTCCTCCCATCCACTATCCAGCGAGCAGCTCCCCGTCTCCCTCATTTTCCTTGCATAGTTCTTACAGTCAGTTCATGTGCTCCACCTCCATACCTTACTGTTCATCAGCTCCTCTATCCCAATAGATCAGCCAAAGGAGGTCGCTCTTTTCCCCTAATCTGCTGTCCAAACATGCGGCCGATGATGAGTGCGGTGTGGTTCAGAACAACAGGGCACCTCCATGGCCATGTGAGGGGAGAGGGAGAAGCCCATGGTTGTTAGTCTAGCTAGACATGCATTAACAATGGTCGAGCTAAGCAAACAAAAATCAAATATAATCATAATCACATGAGTCCACAGGCGCATTGAGTGAACTATTAAGACGTTGCACCCCACTCCGGCTGCTCATTTAAATGAACACTTTCTACAATATTCATTAGACCCCCCTCCTGCATTTATGTATCAGTAGTTAAGACATTCATTTCGGCAAGAGGACAAACTGGTATTATGTACATACGTTGTATAGTCGCTCACCTATCTCTATGTATTGCCGCAGTAATCAATGAATCACTATATTAAGTGCTAATCGCATAGCAGCATCTGTCGGTCAGGATAACATCCTCGCGTGGCACCATGTCCCAAAAATTCACGTCCCTTTTACTACTTGCTCTTTAAGCTAGCTGGAACACAACAATGCATGGTCTAACTGGATTTCCCGCAGTAAGATAAGATCATAAGAATCATTCGTTCATATATTCATATGTGTTCAGATGCTTCTTTCCAAACAAAGAAAAATGTGTTCAGATGCATGCCTTTAGTTCATGTTATTCATTTCATTTTTTTGGGACAGAAAAGTAGTAATGTAATGCACCTATCTCCAGATGAGATATCAGATAGATAGATTTATGTGTCAGATAGTTCTGTCTGACTATTTGTGGTAATAAGTATTGGTGTTAAGTAGAATCTCCATGTGTGTGGTGATGCTAAGGATAGATTTTAACGGATCAGGAGGAGTATGCAAAACTTTTCCTGAGAAGGGTTTTGGATGGGTATTGAGCTGTTGACTATTTAACTTATACATGCTTTGTTAATTCATGCTACACCAACAATAGACATGCCCTAGTTTCTGAAGTACTATCTGATAAGATCTTCAAAAAAACCTCGCTTTCATGAAAAGAATGCTGCAGTTATTGCTTAATTAGGAAGAGCAATCCAATTGCTTGCTGGAAGAAATTTTCTACAATAGGTGTTCATCTTTCTTCAGCTGCCATAGTAAAAAATGGGGTACTTTTCTTACCATGACTTAGAAACTTATTTCCCAATACTGGTTGGTAAAAGTTCGGCTCTTGCAACACCCTCCCGTGACCAGCACAGCCAAAAGCAGATGCTCTATGCCACATTTCTGAGTTCGAATTGGACCATGGAAGCCTTGCATATTTGCCTTTGTTGTTGTCCTGATATTCTCTCTGCTGTCTTCTTTACCTTGCCAAGCTTGCTTGTTCTTTTCCTTGGCTACAATATTGCAGAGCACGTGAAGAATACACTGCCATTCCTTTATGCGTCTGTTTTTCAAGCTTACAGAAGCCCTAAGACTTCATAATACCAATTATTTTATAGCAGAAAATATGTTGTATTTTTGGTTACGCGAAGCATGGTTGGGGGGATATGATTTGTCTGGAACCTGGAACATCAGAAAGCTGTTGAATGTTATGATTTGATCTAGTTTGTTGATCACTTATTTGTTCCAAGCATCTCTTGTTTGCGGTGCCTTGTTTGGAATAACCTGATGTGTCATTTGCTCCAGAACAGTTCCTGTTTGAATTGTTTATATCCGCTTGTGTTGTGGACATGTGATTTGATTGTTTGGTTTTACACGCAAACATAGTTTTTGGTTCTCTAACCTTCATTCTCTGTCAAAACCAAATTTCAGGAGCCAAATGGTGTCGTTCTAAGGAATGCTTGGTTACCAGAGTTTTTTTGTCAGAGGATGATGAGTCTCTTGGTGTCATGTGTCCATGAAGCTGGTTCCTGGTTCGTCCATGTGTAGGTTGATGGTGTGATGGGAAAGAGAAGGTCGCCAAATCAAATCATATATAGAAACATGAACTTTGTGGAGAATCTGTCTATTTTGGTTTGAAATTTTTGTGTGTGTGGAAGAGTTCTCTTTTTCCCGGTGAGTGTACTGGTACTGGTCCCGAATGTTGTCAATGTTGTCTGTGTGTGTTGTTATTCCCGTGGGATCTGCTGTAATTCGGCATGGGAAATGGTATATTTGTTGGATGTTATTGGCAGCATCCACTGTTGGTGTAACCCTTTCACGAGTCTCAGTTTTGAAGGTTGCAACTTGCTGCAATGCTGTGTGCCCCTCAGTTGATGATTTGTATAGCATTGTGGTATGACTTGCGAGGTCCAAATGTTTTTTGATTTTTATGGCCTGTTTATAAAAGCGCGAATCATTCTCTGGTCAGAGCATGCACTAACGGTATGCGTCCATCTCATTAGAGTATCTATCTATTTAACAGATGCTGTATAAAGGGCAAGTGCCCAAATAACTGTTTTTTTAGGGCGTACGGGCCAAAAATAGTTTGATGTATCTTAGAATTGAATGCAAATTTTTAGTGCAGCTCCATATTTTTGCCCTCAAGTGCTGCATATTTGCAGCAGTCCAACCGGCTGCCGTGCGCAACCCAACTGCCATCTGGAAGTTTCTTGCCGCCTCTCCCCCGTGATCGTCGCCGGCGATATCTCCGCTGCGTGGCCTAACCATCAAATCCCACTAGATGGCTGCAACAGACTCGTCGATTTAGGATCTGATGTTCGCCTCGAATTGCATTGATTCCAGCCATTCGCAGCCCTTCCCCCACCTTTACCGCCGCGGCACCACCAGAACCGAGCCAGACCGCTTTTCCTTTGGAGCTTTTGGCTTTCAGACGACGCTGCGAGGGTGGAGATGCTGAGAAGACCACCCCGAGGCCACTTGTAGCCGGCGCGACGACCAACTGGCCCTGACGAGCAGCCGGTCGGATTTCTCCTCCCTACGCACTAGGTGTTCGACAAAAATCCTCAAAGGTAAAAGAAATGTGTTACTCGTTTTTTTTTTTTGAAATATAGGAGTAGGTTAATTGAAAGTATTGTGTTGTAGATGGGTTCGTTCATATCCTTCCCGTGGGATGATTCCTCTCTAAAGAAGAATATGAGATGGACAAAGACGAGGACTTTGCTCTGATTACGATGATGTACATGCATAAGAACAAGAGAGGCATGGTGGTTCTGTTGTCGGCAGAGAGGCGATTCGTAGGTTGAGGAAAGATGGGCACAATAGACTGGTGCTCAACTATTTCAATCCCAATCTGATGTATCCAGAGCGATACTTTTGTTGTCGGTTTAGGATGTTTTTGAATTTATTCCTTCACATTACCAACTACGTGAAGTAGCATGATCGGTTATTTGAGCAGAGGAGAAATTGCTCTGGAGATCTTGGACGTGCCACTATCCAAAAGGTGATAGCGGCATTATGCATGATGACATAGGGTGTTCAAACAGTTTTCTTTGATGATAACTTGGCAATGGGAGAGGACTTTAATCTTTTGTATGAAGAAATTTGCAAATGTGGTGATTGAAGTGTTTGAGCCGGAGTATTTGAGAGAACCCAATGCTCAGGACATTCAACAACTTCTGAAGATGAACAAAGCAAGTGAGTTTTCAGGTATACTTGGCAATTGATTGCATGCATTGGAAGTGAAAGAATTGCCCTACAACATGTCCGAGATAGTTTAAAGGACACAAGAAGGATGCCATCATCGTTCTTGAAGCCATGGCCGATCAGGAGACATAAATTTGATATGCATATTTTGGGATGGCTGAATCTTGCAATGACATTAAATTTTAACTCCTCAAATACGAGAAGTTAAAAATACCTAGCGAAGTCTCTATATTTAACTCCTTGTTTTTCCGACTAATTTGTCCATTCTTTATGGCACACATTTCGACAAACTGCACGAGATTTCATCAATCATTTGAATGATTCAAATGAACCTTACTATGCAACAAATCAACTACAAATATAGCCATATTTCATCCAACAATTCATACGTACTTCCTCCTTTCCATATTAGTTGATTTGGATGTATCTAGATACGGATGTATCTAACACTGAAACATGTCTAGATATATCCGTATCTAGATAAATCTGAGTCAGCTAATTTGGAACGGAGGGAGTATTAATCATGCATATACTTTATCCAAAAGTCATCAAATTGATCAAGTTTATCCAAAAGTCATCAAATAGATCAAGTTTATCCAAAAGTCATCAAATAGATCAAGTTCATCCAGTCCCACCCACGCGGGCCACGTCCGCGCCACATCACCCCCTCGTGCAACGCCCCACTCTCCAACGTTCCTCTTCCCACGGCGCCACATGGCCGCACCCGCACCCGACGAATCAGCGAAAACGGTAAACCCCTCCCCCTCCCATTCCGTTCGCAACAAATCCTCCGTTCCATTCCATTCCATTCCATTCCTCCGGGGATCGCGACGGCGACGCCGCATCATCGGCCGCCGCGGGACCTCCACGGCGACGCCGACGACACC